GACTGAAATGGTAGATCAGGTTTTGAGGGGTGATAACTGAAGGAGGGAGGGGGTTCACTCCACAGCTAGAGCTTCTTAGTGATGAACTACATATTACTTAATGCAGAGAAATAATAACACCAGATGATAACTAAGTATTTATATATATAGTATATCTTAATATTATTTATATATAAATGAACATGTACTACGGTTATAGTTAGTTATAGATTATTGGATTGAACTACGTTATAATCATACCCTGCGTGCAGAGTCTAGTTAAACTACACTCTGCCTAGTAAAGATCATATTACAGTTTAGTAGCTCTGACGAACACTGATTGGCGCGGTGAGTTCGCAAGTTTATTTTAGTTTGAAAGAGTGAAGACGAAGCTCTCTTTTATGAAGTGAAGTAAAACGAATGCAAAGGGTATTATAATCATGGTAGTCCAATAAGTTTTAATAATAACAAGGCCTCTAGAATCTTGGAATTGGATTTATAACAATTTTAATATTTATTTATGAGCAGTGATAATTAAATAGGGTGTGTTTAATTATATTACATTTAATTGGCCAATTAAAGTCATGTGACATAAACATCAATATTCCTGTAGTCAGATGTTATAAACTGATACATATGCTCCCACATCATAGCATCATATTCAATATCATATTTATTTTCCATATGTCTCGTTAGATAATGTATTGCAATAATATTTTCAATATACAACTGAGTATGTGTATTAATTAAATGGTTGTACAATCTGTGCATTTGTTACATCTGTACTGTACATCACAGTACATGTATATTGTGATTGCATAGACCCCTGTTGCTCATGATGTATGTTTCTTGATGTACAAAACAGCTAAAAATTTACATAACAGTGTATAATGGGGGGGGGAGTGGGGTTAAGTACCAGATCCCTTCTTCTCTCCAGTTGCCGCAATCTGATAATTATTACAATTTCTATACAGTTTGTATATAGTATAGGTGAGATATATGCCTATAAAACCAAGGCCTAAAACTATAAAACTAAGCCCCCCCCCTCATCATATCCTCGCCTCTTATCTTTAACTCTAATGAATTGATATAAGCTTTGGCTGTAATTCTTCAGAACTATTCTAGTAACACCCCCCCCCCCTCCCCATTAGATCAACAATAATAGTATACATGTACATTGTGTCAAACACCTAATAACTGTCACATTAAATAGATACAGCACCCAAGGCACTAGTGTACATGTAGCTGATCGGTCCTGACCATACATGTAGTTGCTTTGTTTTACTTGCAAAATAAGTCTCAACCTTTTCTAACCTGTATTTATAACATGTGAATTTGTTTTGTTTAGTTTTTCTCTATAATTCTAAATATCCGAATGCAATTATTGTTGCAACTATGCCAATAAATTCATCTAAAATTGTTTTTACAAAGACCCCCCACGAAGTGCGGTTCTTTGTACCTTATTCCGGACATGAGCCAGTGGATCGGTCACGTGACCTAAAGACCGCCTTTATTACCTTATATGGCAAATTGTCAAGGGAACTACTAAGTCGCCATATGACGCGATTACGGATCGATTGTGTTTCCAAGTAATGTCGTCATGTGACGTAGAACGCATTGTCCGCCATTGCTCTCAATTTTGTCTGAACGGGTAAGCGTATTTTAACATTTCTGTCATTTAAAGCCTGGTTTTCAGTATTTATAATCGAATTTCACTTCAACTTGATTGTAGAAATGAATAGAGTTGTAACTTCTTATTTTACTGAATCATTATTCGAGCCAGAAGTGGCGCAAAATCAATCATTATGAACTTGAAGAAATTTAGTTACTCATGGTTCAACGAGTTTTTCAGATGGTTCAAATACTGAATAGCCTAGCATGCTAGTCAACACTGATATATTTAATGTTCTGTAAATGGTTAGTATGATGCTATGCTGGTCGCAAGGAGAGGTATCAAAAGTTCAATGTCTGATAGGAAGCTAAATTAATCTAGTTTTGAGTTTGACCCCCTCCCCCCAAAAACGTGATCATCGCGGACTTTTCACATGTGGACTTTCGTGGATTTTGGATTTTCATTGTGATATTAGTAGTACCATAACGTGTGTAGGCTACAATGTAGAATCCTAAAAACATGTGACAACAACAGTAAACAGCATTTGCAGAAAACATCAAGTAAACTCTTTATTTTAAAACCATTCAAACAAAGGAATTCTGATCCGAGTCAAAATTGCACAAAAATTGAAATGTTAAAATTTGTCTGATAGCAAACTGAAATGGCTTTGACCCCCCCCCCCCTTCTAGATTTATTTAGTTTTATAGGCTTATCTGTTGACATTGAACCTTAGATGCCTCCCGCCAGACGTATGTCACGAGACATTACCATCTCCATAAGAAGTGAACGATAGTTTTTTAAACTGGAAGGTCAAGGTAGGAACTCAAATGAAAATAGACTGCCCCAAGTCATTTCTTTTTCAGAACAAGAACGCCAACAACAACAAGATCCTATGCATACGACCACGCACACCAATAACAAGTGCAACAACAAATAACGCAAACAATTATAAAGGTTATGTCAACAAAGACATATATTACAAATCAGGTGTGAAATCGGCAAAACTTGGGCTCAGTAGACAATAAAACTGTAGAAGTGTGCATGCTAAGGTGTCAAGGTATGTATCAAATCAAGAGATCAAAAGACTAAAAGCTAATGTATATTTTGTAACAATAGAGAGGTAAAGCAAAACCATTTTTATTACATGAACCACAAACGTAAATCTATACATTACCGTTTTCGTTCTTATGACAAAGTAATAAGAGTGTTTCGACCCTTCCAAGCCGCGGTTTGTGTTGCAAGAAGTACTAATACAATAATATTGTATTTAAAAAACTATTAGTATGAACTGTATGAATACATGAAATACTAGTATCTTCATTCAAAGGTATAAATGTTGTACAAAGACAGGCAGGAAATGTATTGACTAAGGCCACACATATAAGATATGCTTTTATCTCATATTTCCAGGGCACGGTAATAATAACAAAGGTCAAGAAGGATGATGTACATTAGAACTTTCCACAGAGTCCAAATGATGTCACGACAAGATCCACAGATGTCATTCACTAGGAATTTAATTGGACTTTTTGAGATTTGTTGTATATTTTTGGGCTATAAGACGCCACAATATACTGAAATATGTGCTTAAGTTATATGATTGTTTTATGTCACCGTGTAGAGATGGTGACATAATGAAGTTTGTTAGAGTTTATTCGTATATTTAATTTTTAAACTTTTTCTTGGTAATGCAATACTGCATCAAAACACAAAAAAAGATATAGAAATTGTGTTCACAGTTTGAAAATCTGATTTAAAACTCCTTGCAAAATGTAACATAACGTAAAAGAGCACGAAGCGCTATCTATATTGTTCTTGGTAAAAAAGTCATTTACAAAAATAACAATAGAGTTCCTTACTTGTAAGTCACCCTACCCCATCCAGAACAGTATACCAGTAATACTGTATAAGTGGTTATTTTGCCTAATCATTTAATTTGCCTATTTCCTAATTTTTGCCAGGTTCGGAAAATTAAATGTCGGAAATATTGTCTTTATAATGTTATCCAATGGGAGGTTTCTTGTAATTAGGAAAATTAAAATTAGGAAAATGATGAAATTTGACCATTCGGAAAATTAACCACTCGGATTAAATACCACTTATACAGTATAAGTGGCGCTACATACTTCTGGATATGTGACAATATAACCATTTACTTAATAGATTCCACTAAAAGCAACATTTCACTATCACTCCATCTTTTCCGCCCCTTATACCTAACTTCGGGTCTTTGTGGTTTTTCAGTGATTTTTTCACTGGATTATCTTGTTTCAATTTCAGTTTGGCAAAGGTTATTGTGTATGTTTTTATTTTTTGCTATATGAACACACCCCTTTTGAAGGACATGAACATTTAAATTGACAAATAATACTGTACATGTAGCTATTGATTTTACAGTCAAGAACAGAAAGATACAATTCCAGCATTAATTTCTGCTGAGACCTTGGATTTTCAAACATTTCCATGAGGAAAGTTCCATTCCAACCTTACAGTCTATATGCAGATTAAAATTTCAACACATGTTGTGAGCAGTCATTTAAAAGACAATATTTGCACTCCCAGGCAAGACTATGTTTGATTTTTATGCCACAATTATAAATCAAGGCACAATATTTGAGGCACATGTACCATGAAAGCTTCACAGATCATAACTCCTACTTCAAACAACTGAGGGATTAGCTTCTTATAAGTGTTCTCAGTTAAAACTCATGGTTTGCCAAGGGCAACACCAGCTTAGTCTAAACCTTCTTCAATCACTGTCACTTACAGAAATTACTAATCTAATTTGATCAACTTCATTAGAGTTTCATCTCATCTTATCCAGAAATAGTCAGATAGACAATAGAATTTAAATAATCACTTCAGCCATGGGCTCTACCACCATCGTCACATTGAGCCCTGTGGAATTTAACATTTTTAAAGCATGGGAGTTCAATAGGCTAGAAAGAAAATATATTTAAAAAAATAAGTTTCGTTCTTGAACAATTCAATGGCATCTCAGGATAATTGAATCATAACGCCTGTTGCGTCCTCGCCCACTTGGTATGTTGGTACCTGAAGTCATGGGCTTTCAATTTTAGTTGAAAGCCCATACTGTAGTAAATGAAGTGTTACAACTCTTAGATGAGACGAAGAATGGTAAAGCTTAATGACACCATAACCCTAAAAAACAATGATATTGGATAAACTTTGGTCTGTATTTCTATTCAAACTGCAACTTTGGCACTTGTTGACAATTTCTGTTGACATTTGTACCTAAAAAGATAATAGAAACTCAAAGTCCAACATTGTAGAATAGAGTCGTGACAATAAGGTACACATGTTCACTGCTACAGTTGATTCCTACAAATGGAAATCATCAAATCGATGATGTGGTAAGCGGATTTAGATCTGTAAAATTATAACTCACCTGCGATGATCCCCTTCAAACTTTTTTGGCTTGGCAAGAAACTTGAATTTGATTTTTCCATTGCTAACATTTTCGATGCATTCTCCCTATAAAAGGGACTATCAAACGTCCTATTTGGCCTATCCATACTTGAATATGTATTTAACTAATTGGTGTAAACCGTTACTACCTAGGCATCGATGATTAATGTGTAAAATTGTCTTAAACCTAAGATTCCTCAACTTCTTCAACTTGTCGAGTTGTCGGCTGTAATGAACTTTGACCTCTCGATGCGCTCTCGTGATATATTTCCGTGTGAGAATTCACGTGATTCCAGTATTCAACCAATCAGATTGCTTTATTTACCTAGCAACCACGTTGCTATGTAAATCAAAGAAAGAAGAAAATAGAAGCAGTTTAGAATTTCTCTCATAAAGTCAACATTTTAAGCGTTTAAACAGAGTGGAATCTTCTTAGATACTTATTCAATACAAAGGTAAGACAATTTTGTATAAGTAGGACGCACAAAAGTCATCCATATATCTCGATATTAGAGCTAAAATCAACACGAAAAATTGCTTTTGAAAATCAAAATGAAATCCACCATAGAATTTTCCAGACATTGATTTTCAAAATGATTTTGTCTTGATATGAAATTCTTTAAACTCTACTGATATAATATCAAGGACCTCCAATTTAGAAATCAAATCTGTACTGTAGCATTTATTCAAAATAGGTTTGGGTAGACTAGCCACTTTGTTGGCCAGTATAGAGTAACTTTTGAAGAAGACAACAATATAGCCTAGATCTATTTCAACCAGAGACATAAGTTATAATCTAGCTATAGTCTAGTCTAAAGGGTAGTGTTGTCGCGATGTGCCATAATCGTACATCGATGCATCGGCAATTTTCAGTAGTAAACATCGATGCACATCGCGATGTAGCCTACATAGAGAAAAAGTCCGAGAAAAGTGCACTGAAATACCGAACGCTAATGCACTAAAATACAGAACGCTGGTTCATCCGGGAACTTCGATCCGAAATGCTTGAAATTATTGAAATGAAAGAGAATGTGAAAACAGCTAAGGCGAATTGATTGAAATCCTTGAAACGGCGAAAGAAGCGAAACAGTAATTTTATTTTTGGAGCCATATTGATTGAAATGATTGAAACGGTTGTAAAGCCCCGGCGAAATGCTTGAAACGAAAAACGTGCATGATAGTTTTTCTTTTCAATCGTTTCGCCCATTTCTTCATGAATTGGTCATATGATTGAACTGCTTGAAACAGCGTAACAGGCGCAAACAGTGAAACTCTAAATTAATTTCAAAGGCAAATTGATTGAAACGATTGAAATGCTCAAAATGACGTAAGCATTGAAACATAGGAAATGATGCAAGCAATGAACCCATTGAATTATTGAAACAATTGAAACGATTGAAACGCTGTTTACAGTGTATACAGGGCTTAAAACATATAGGCTAGATCTAGACTATTATGTCTCTGTTTCAACAGACATTTTCTTATCTTATATGTTTAGACTATTGGGCATTTGGATGATTGGATGTAATTTATTTTGCTGTTTGATGATAACATATCGCTCTTTTCCAGATAAAAATGGCAAAACTAGTACAAGCACCCCCACGATTCACCCACAATGAATGGAACATTTCAAATATGTCAAAGTACAGGAATGCAGAGGCAGAACGTATAGCTGCTGAACGTCTCTGTGATGAATCTGACCGCCTTTTGGATGAAACAGCAAAAAGAACAGATAAAACTCAGAAAGATGTCAATAAAAAGTTTGGTAAGTCGATTTAACCACTTGTAAACATGAATCTTCAATAATGTTTATCATAATATTTAACCAGTTTAAGATTGATTTAATCAAGCAGTTTGTGTCTTTAATATCTATCTTATTAGTGTTCTTATTAGTGCACCATGGGTCTTTTGAAAGCCCAAGAGTATACTGATAAATTATTCACAGCATTTTCCCATGCTCATGTACATATGCAATGTTTGTTTGGAGTTAATTATTCGACTTAATACTTAATATTGTCAAGTATTATCATCATTGCATTTACAGCAAACAATAATTAGAAAAAATTTTCAAAATTTATTCTCATTTGCAGATCAAAGAATTGATGACGTAAATTTCTGGAAGAAAGAACTAGATGATAAGCTAGATGGAATTAAAAATGAAACTGAAAACTTAATGGCATACAAAACTCGAGTGGAGAAAGCAATAGCATCATGCCATGAACCTCTTCACATAGCAAAACAGTGTTTGATCAACAGAGAAAAGAGACGTGGGATTGACCTGGTACACGACGATGTGCAGAAAGAACTCATGAAGGAAGTTGAGACGATTGAAGGTGTCTTGGCACTTCTGAAACGTGCACTGGAACAATCTAATGAGCAACTGAGGTTCGTTTTCAAACTATGTAGTGTGATAAGTATAAACACTGGCGGATTAGGGGGGGGGCTGGGGGCCCGGGCCCCCCCCTTGGGTGGGCCCAGAAAAAAAAATTGGGCCCAAAAAAAAATTGGGGCCAAAAAAGGCCTTAAGGCCCCAAAAAGTGGGCCTTTTTGGTCATAACTGGGCCTTTTAAGGCCTTATTTTTTAATTTTAGGCCAAATTTTGAAGAAAATAGGCCTCAAAATTGTTGGTTCCCAGATCCGCCCCTGATAAAGCTATCATTATGATAAGGTTACATGTAGTATATACGTGCCCTCTTTAATATAGTATTTTTGGTACTTTGCAGGACCTTGTTGATATTAGAGTTGATGATTTTTGGGAAACAAATAAAAACAAAAAGCAAGAAACAAAAAAATTTTTATTGCTCAAGACGTATTTTATTTAAATGTGGATCATTTCATTGCAGGTTAAACAGGAAAGGCAAATACAACTTGGAAAAAGACTTGAAGGACAAATTCTCCGCTCTTTCTATAGATGAAGACTGTAGAGAACTCAGGAACAACTCAGCCGGGCTTAAGTTCAAGGGAGATGCTGCTAAAATAGAAACAAAGTGAGTTTCCAATGTATATTCTAATAGTCTAAGCCTTTTGTCTTTCAAGCTGTGGTTTCCCCTGCTCTTGAAACCTCATATTTGATGATTATTCCCGTGGCATTTTTTGTTATCAAAATAGTACTGCTTAGAAGTCTGTATTCACTGCTAAGATATGTCAAAAAATTATATGCCTGGTTTTATATGAATTGAAAATGTAACTATGAATGAAAAATACATTACAGATAGAATTTGTCAATTAAAAAATACATTACAGTGAAACCTGTTCCAATCAGAGCATCATGGGGACCAGCCAAAAGCGTTCAGATTATCAGGTTCACATTTTAAGTTTTTTTCACATTGTAATCTCTGGCTGCATTTTCTGTTCCAGCTCTCTAACACCAGAAGACTGGCAAGATTTCTCTAATGAGAACATCGTTAGAACAGAACAAGAGAGAATGGCCTCCGTGAACCTGCGATCAATGATAGATGGCATCCTACAACAGACATGCAATGATATGACCAAGCAGAATGAGAACACAAACATCTCATTCCAGAAACGAGTAGCTGAATCCAAAGACTCCAAATCTAAACTTGAAGATCATCTTTCAAAGGTAAATAATCATTTTAAAATGAGTCCAGATTAAAATTACTGAGGCCAAGCAATATTTTTGGAGTTGAGCAATCTTAGTTTTGTAATTTTGAACTTAAAATGGATAATTACTTGGCTATTGTAGATGGTATGCTTAATTGTGGTGAATATATAAACATTGTTCCATTGAAATATCACTCAAATAAGGACTCATGAGCATAGTTCAGCTGAAAGAAATACTAATGTCAAACAATTACCTCCATGGCCATAGACTGTATTGCCAAAGTTTTACAGAAAAAAGTTTTTGAAAACATTCTTCTGAAAAATGCCAGAAAAATATGTTTTAAAATAATTTATTTCATTTTGACTAAAATTATCAACATTTTACCCATTCAGCCATTGAATCATAATATCCAACGCTGGTTTTGCCTCATCTATTTATGTTTGCCTCACCTGTTTTGGATCCTGACCTCACTTCACTGTTATTAATGAGAACATCCTTCACATTGCAGGTGATCAAACAGATCAAGGATATGGAAGAGAACATCTCACGTCTCACCATGGGCCTAGCTGACAAAGAAGCCCCATTGAAACTCTCCCACACCCGTCTAGATGACAGAACAAACCGACCAAATGTCGAGCTCTGTCGAGATCCAGTTCAATACCGCCTCATCGGAGAGGTCCAAGAAATCGAACAATCTGTTGCCCGTCTTAGGGAAAAACTTGGGGCATCTGAGGCTTCCCTTAAAGGCCTGGATAGGCAGAAGCTTGGACTTGAAGAGGATATTGACGTTAAAGCAAATACTTTGTTTATTGATGAGGTCCAGTGCATGGGAATGAGGGAAAGCATCAATATTCAGTCATTTTAACCAGCTGACTATTATGGGATAGGCTAGATTAATATTAATATGTTCAACTGGGTCACACTGAAATATGCTCATAATTTTCCTGTCGATGTTGAGTCAAGAGAATCTTTTGTATAAAATGTGATATGAAATGATAACATAAACAGGGGAATTATAGCCACTTTCACAATGGATTTAAGGGCATTTCTGATGTATTATGGGATTGCAATTGTAATCATCTAAGTTTATAGACTGTGAGTGAAAAACTTCAATTTTGTAGAACTTTATGAATGGGAAATAATGGCATAATTTTGTTAAATTCTCTAATACACAAACTTATTTTTAAATATTTTGATAATGGTAGTGGTCAATACCAAGATACCTGTGATAAAAAAATGAACATACACTTTCATCAATTGCAGGCTTTAAATAGACATTGTAGTTAGTTGCAACTATCACTGTGACTATATTGTGCTTAATTTGTAAAATATTTGTCCATAGATGTAACATGTTCTAGTAGTGCATGAGGAAAACCAGCAGTAAGTGCTCTCAGTATGAGCATTATGTGTATGTGCTGTACATATGTAAAAATATCAAACAAAACCGAGAGAAAATAAATGCAAAATATTTATAAATGAATGACATTGTATTATTTTAAGTTTAATTATTCAAGGAGTAAAAATTTGCATATTTTGAAAGAGTAACAGAAGCATTCACAGACCACTTAAAAAAATCGTAAAATACACAAAACATGGCCACCATTTTCAAAATGGTTGCTCACTTAGCCAAATTGTCATCAGAAAGTGTAATGTTCTTCTAAAAAGGCACATTTGAAATTTCAACAAAATTGCACACAAGTATATGTAAATGGCGGCCTTTTTCAAAATGGCTGCCTACTTGCCAAAATGTCATAAGACAGTGCACCATGCTTATGAGTATTCACATATTAAACATGAACAAAATCGCTCCACTATTTTTCGAGTTATAGTAAAAGACACAAAATGACAGCCATTTTTTAAAATGGCCACCTTCTACCAAACAAACGTAAAAATGGTGGCCATTTACTACCCAAAGTGGCATGAGACAGTGTGCCATGCTTATAGTATTCACATTCCAAATATGAACAAAATCACTCAACTACTTTTCAAGTTACAGCAAAAAACCATATTGCACCTAAATTACTGTAATATTGGCACTAAAATGGCTGCAATTTTTAAATGAGTGGCCATTTTGAAAATCGTTTTTTGAGCAGAACTTCTACCCTCAAAGGGGGTATGTGTAAATAATAACAAAACAAAATTGGGCCGATGGTATTATTGGAGTTATTGCACGGATGGAAGTACAGATGGACAGGCATTCACTATATACCTCCAAACTTCATTCGATGGGAAAAAATGGTGATAATAACAGAACTATATCTAGTATATCACCACTTCTTGATGGTGACATAAAAATTGAGTTCCATTTTCATTCAGAACAAATTAGTTTTTACAGCGCAACTTTTCATTCAAAGTGTTTATAGTTGATGCTAATGCTAACCAACCATAAAAATAATTGTTTTAACCTCTTGAACACCCAGAATGATAGATATTTCTGTCACAAATAAAGTTCCATGGGAACCTAGAGTGATGGATATAAAACTGCTCTGACTTTGAACATTTTTATATAATCTACACAAATATTGTTGAAATACTCCTAATGAATCTCTATCTATTCATATGAAATCAAACATCAAATATTGTGTATTTAGTAAGTAAATTTCCCAAAACTGGCAAAAAATGAAATATCATCTGGTTTCAAACCCTTTTAAAGGCTGGTATCCAAAGGGTAACAAACATTATGCTAAGTCAATACATTTTAGATGCATTTTCTTGTATTTCAAATTCAAATTATCTTTATTTCAGCAAATTAGCCCAGGGCAGGGGTGTAGCCAGAATTTTATGGCAGAGCAGAGTGAAAATCAGAGAAGAAAATGAGTTGTTTATATTGATATTCATTTCATTTTATTTCCCAATCAGTTTACATCCATGAGGTATCGGAAGATAAATAAATATAAATTGCATGAACAAAATATGTACACATACATAAAGCTCTTTTAAAGGAATATTCCTTGCCAAACCATCTCTCTCCTCATATGGTAGCTATAACCATATATATGCTTGCCATGTTTAGCAAAACACGCAAAAATGTTTTGATATGGTCAAATTTGATCACTTAGAAATGTGATGCTCAATTCCAGTAAGCTGCCATCTTTTAAAATTTCACACAGGAAGTGATGTCATCGACTCTCAACTTTGCATATAGCATTAGGTGAGGAGCTATTAAGAATTACAAAACCAGCTAAATATTCTTTTTCAACTTTGTATCTTATTTAATCCTTCTGAAAACCTCTTCTCTTATTCTAAGTTGACAAGCCCTGCAAATATTTTTGCACAGAAAGTAATGATCACTTGTCTAGAAGTGATTTTGTGCTACTTTCCTATACTGTTATGGGCAAGGTTATAGAAGTTGAGAGTTGATGACATCACTTCCTGCAAGAAATCTTAAAAGATGGCAGCTCACTGGAAATAAGCACTAGATTTTTAAATGATCAATATTGACCATATTAAAACATTTTCCCATGTTTTGCTAAATATAGAAACTATATATATGATTATAGCTACCATATCAAGAGAGAAAGGGTCTGGCAAGGAATATTCCTTTAAATAATGTGTTAACAATACACTAACATGAGCAAATATTGTAATATGAGGAGAGAGTAGTGTCAATTTCATGACCCTTCTAGCCAATGTGTATGGATCTTGCACTGAGACTGGACCTCCTTTCTGAAAGAATCTGTTGGACAGATGGGCTCACCATTCACCACTGTGTGGCTAATTTTATGCATTCATTATTTAATTACTTTTTGTACTTGGTTTGATCGGGAATCTCTTGTTGCAAAATTATTTGTTTTGCCCACCACCTTGTATCCATGCCGTGCCCCGCCATCTGTCCCAAAGTATTCACATGGTGGCGAATGGTGAGCCCACACGACCTAAGTGTGACAGCTCCATTACATTGAGGTGATGTGAGGTATGGTAAAGGATGTCACAAGAACCTGAAGTGTACAATAATTCAAGCTTTCATCATGCCTATGTATGCCACTCCCCTCATTCTGATTCAAGAAATACATTGTATATAAAGGACCTCGATGTACCCAACACTGAGTTATGATCAATTGTTGTACACGAACCTCAAATTAATAGAGTAGATCTGAAGTAACAATCTGACAATACAAGCTCTCAATCATAACAAGGCATCAACATGCAAAATGTCACTACCTGCAATTTGTTACAGACACCAACCACCGAATGCCAATTCATCCACAAAAAGTTGGAGACTTTAACAATAAGTCACCACTTATGGTGGTGACATAATTACATGACAAAATGCAGAAACAATGCTTGGTGGTGTCATATAAATAACAATGTACCTTGTAATACAATTGCTATGTACTATAAACTTTAAAATTACAATTTTAGATTGTAATTCACAATTCATATTTCTTCATAGTACTAACATTGTTGCTACTTGCACATTATTTACTGTAGAATCTGGAAACATTAAAACACACTCTAAAATAAATATTTATCTTACATTGCATTTTATTGCAAATATTTAAGTATGTTGTATTTTTTAAGAATGTTGTATTTTTGAGAAGTGACAAGAATATGATGAGACTTCTAATATTATATTGAAAGTTGACTTTAAGTGGTTATTTGTTCTTAATTTCAGCACTTGGTGCATTCATTTAGACAATCAAGAAGCAGATATGAAAAATTCACCCAATTAAATCTTCGACAAAATCGAAAGGAATAAAATAAATTCACATTTCAAAGTAGAGTTGCTCCATGAGATATCATGCAGACATAAAAGTTATGTAACATTATGTGGATGTAAAAATAGGGGGGAGAACATATTTATTTGACACCCTGTACATACATATACTTGTTAACCCTAATATTGCATACTGGCCATTATATAGTTTATATACATGTATATATAATATGTACATTCTGTAGAGTAAACCATACTGTATACTGCAGGCATACAAAACAATGTTGTAAGTGTTAAACTATTGACATAAACAAAAAAGTTAAAATCTTGTAAAAGTTGTTTTTGCAGTTTTGTTCGCATTCTTAAGCCAATCAAATTATAAGTTATATTCTAAAATCTGAGCTTATAAATCATATTAAGAGCAGATCAAGAAAATTAGAAAGTGCAAAATAAAGTTTTGGGAATTTAATTTTTGCAATTCCATTTTGCAGTATCCAGGTATCTAGTGTGTGAAATGCTAAATTCAGCCTGGATTACCCCCTCTCCCTCCCTCTTTAGGTATTGCACATTATCAGCTCTCATATTTATCTCTGACAAGTTTTTCAGTGATATGCAAGTCTTCAGGATATTGTTGTAACTTATGAGTGTTTGGAAGATAATAATGTCCCTTGAATTCTTCAAAGTATCGCCCAACTTCCGGGTGGGTGATTTCTGATGGTTCTGAAGCCAGCTCCAGGTTCTCTGTAAGAAAATACAGGTAAGGTTTTTATCTTTCTATAATAGCTGATGCCAAACAGACATTTAAATGCCCAGATTCATTTTTAGTGACTAAATAAATTAATTACCATATACTAAAATTGGGTTGCATTGAATGACATCTATTTCTACGTGAGGTTCTTTGAGATTTTTAGTTATAACATCGGTAGTGAAATGTTATCCTTGGTCTAATATTTTCCATTAATTGTGCAAGTGGATTGGTTTATTGAATTACTTGGCAGAAACCTCAATACAAATATGATTTTATACATGTATTAAGTTGATTATATCTATGTTATATATATATGAATCCTCAAACCTTGAGCAGCATATCTGTTAGATCCATCATCTACAAGAACATTGTAAAATGGCTGATACTGTTGCTTCTCCAGGTTTGGTACACCCATCTGTACAATCCATTCATGACTAGCAGTACAATGAGAGTCCCACCCATATATGACACACTTGTATCTGTATCTGAAATATATGACACACTTGTATCTGTATCTGAAATATATGACACACTTGTATCTATATCTGAAATTTTTGACACACTTGTATCTAAATCTGAAATATATGACATACTTGTATCATTTCTGTAAATATACGACACACTTCTATCTATATCTGAAATATATGACACACTTGTATCTGAAATATATGGCACACTTGTATCTTTATCTGAAATATATGACACATTTGTACCTATATCTGAAATTTATGACACACTTGTATCTAAATCTGAAATACAAGACACACTTGTATCTATATCTGAAATATATGACACATTTGTATCTATATCTGAAATTTATGACACACTTGTTTAATCTGAAATATATGACATACTTGTATCATATCTGTAAATATACGACACGCTTCTATCTATATCTGAAATATATGACACACATGTATCTATATCTGAAATTTATGACACACTTGTATCTATATCTGAAATATATGACACATTTGTACCTATATCTGAAATTTATGACACACTTGTATCTATATCTGAAATATATGACACATTTGTACCTATATCTGAAATATATGGCACACTTGTATCTATATCTGAAATATATGACACATTTGTACCTATATCTGAAATTTATGACACACTTGTATCTAAATCTGAAATACAAGACACTGTATCTATATCTGAAATATATGACACATTTGTACCCATATCTAAAATTTATGACACACTTGTATCTAAATCTGAAATATAAGACACACTTGTATCTATATCTGAAATTTATGACACACTTGTATCTATATCTGAAATATATGACACATTTGTACCTATATCTGAAATTTATGACACACTTGTATCTAAATCTGAAATACAAGACACTGTATCTATATCTGAAATATATGACACATTTGTACCCATATCTAAAATTTATGACACACTTGTATCTAAATCTGAAATATAAGACACACTTGTATCTATATCTGAAATTTATGACACACTTGTATCTATATCTGAAATATATGACACATTTGTACCTATATCTGAAATTTATGACACACTTGTATCTAAATCTGAAATACAAGACACTGTATCTATATCTGAAATATATGACACATTTGTACCCATATCTAAAATTTATGACACACTTGTATCTAAATCTGAAATATAAGACACACTTGTATCTATATCTGAAATTTATGACACACTTCTATCTATATCTGAAATACATGACACACTTGTATCTGTATCTGAAATATATGACACACTTGTATCTTAATATCTGAAATATATGACACAATTGTATCTATATCTGAAATTTATGACACACTTGTTTCTATAAAGATTTGACACAATTTAAGTATTCAAGCAAGGTTTACATTTGATACGAAATATGAACAACTACTTTTATACACATTTATTCCCCTCATTTATTGAGGTACCCATCAATATTAATACTGTATATACCTTTTATGATGCATTATCAACCCTGTAGAGAACTCCACCTCTGGGTTTCTTGATTTCAGCTTCACATCAATCTAAAGACATCAGAAAAGTAGTACATGAATTGTTGACATCGATTTGAAAGAATCTGACAATTATTTTGGATACTGATGTCATCAATACAAATATAGTGAAATCTGTTTAAGTGAAACACATATGGTGTAAATAGTGTTCAACCTTATAGAGGGGTTCAACTTACACAGACTCATCAAACATTCATTATTTCGTCCCTGTAAAATATGATGATGAGTGGCTCTATGAGACTTTATTTATTTGACTAGTTCTTCAGTGATAGCACTAAAGGTAATGGGTAACAAGATTTGGAAAACTGATCCATTCATTTAGGTCTCCAATTTCACAGGTTTCCTATACATTGTTGACCTTAATCTGTAGGCAACAGACAAATATATTAATAAAAATAGGTGACATAAATCTAGCAAGTTTATGAATGGCTAACATGATGCAGTAACATACCCATTTGTTGTTTGAATCAGAATCATCTTCGTGAAGTTGTTGTCTGGCAGTGTCAGTGAGGTAGGCGAGTAATCCAGCTGGGGGACCACCTCCTTCTGAGGATGTCACCTTCTGTAGCAACTCTATCACCTAAAGAGTACAAGATACTATGAGTATGAGCCTGTAATACAGTTAAAAACTCATCTGCAATGAACTCAACTATACATAACCATTGAAACTTTATCAAGATAGAGATTAACCCCCCCAAAGTGTGCCAAGACCTAAAGATCTAAAGATGGATTTAATTTGTCTAAGACTGACATACTTCAGGCCCATAGTCAGCTTTTGCCAAGGAATGTGTTTACTTTTCATCATGAGCGTTTTTTTCAATTGGAACTTTCAATATAAAGTGTATAAATATATGTAATCTAATATTCATGTTCAACTGTAAAATCTACAAAACATACTTTTTGTGAAATTCAATGAAACAGCCTTGTACCATATACCAACTGAATAAAAACTATTATGAGTAGAAATTAATGGAAACCATAGTGACACTGCACCATCATTTTCTAGACATACCTCAGTGACATTAATATTCATATGGAGATACAATCTGGCTAATAGTAGTTTGTTGTCATTATCTTCTGGACATATCACCATCATCAGTTCCACAGCATTACGTAAACACTGGAGGCTATCTCCCATGTTATCCTGTTGCCTACCTATGTTGATTAGATTACGTACCATTCGTATGAAAACCTAGGATAATATAAAATACAGTGTCAGTGTTGCATTTTGGGTAATACATTATGTAAGTACTGAAGGAAGGTTATCTCCCATGGTGCCTTGTTGATCAAATTACCCAGCATTCACACAAATAATTCAAACTGAAACCGGAGTGATATACAAGTAAACAATTATGTCTAAAAGGCAAGTACAAATCAAATTGAATGATAACAAAGTTTATGAAAATACCATTTTTCTTTGATAACACCTCTACAAGTGAAACATTTGCCAAGTGGAATACAATTTTAAAGTATCAAAGGCATTTCACGCACACAGGTTTAAATGTACTTCAAACTATTTTCAACTCTAATAATATACACTTACCATTCGTGGTTTGATGCTTCTAAAATGTTCTGAGTTGGCATTGGCAGGGATGAAAAGTCCACCTTGACCAAGCACACTCCTACATTCATTCTGGGTAAGGAACGTGCCTTTATTGAAGACATTGATATATGTGTCTTGTTGTTCAGAGGGTAACCTAGGAAACAAAGAGTTCTTTAAAATTGCTTGCATACAGTCTGATCAGCAGATTATATCAGCAGTACCAAAAATACTTTGTATTACATGTATTATCATTTATTTTATATGTGAAATTAATACAAAAGTATATTTGATATATTCTGACACGGTAAAATATATTTACATCATTGTCAATCTAAAAACTAAACTTGGTCAATAAGCAGACTTTTTATCAGTACATAAACGCTTTCATAAAGGAGTCCCACTTCAAGAGATACTGTATTTTTTACATAGTAGTACTCAATACTCACGTTGGGTGTTCCTTGAACTTGAGCAAAAAGTGTGAAGGATAGTTAACAGGATAGCAGACTACACCCAGTCTTCTGGCTAGAGCAGCATAGACCACAGACAGGGAGATAGGGATGCCTGTCTTCAGTTCTAACACCTGGAAAATTAGATAATTTTTGTACTGTTTAGTGTAAAATTCAGTGAAATATTCTCACTTTCAGGATGTGGATAAGAATTGGTCAAAATTTGCCATTAACAATTTAACATGTTTTTTTTCTCATTTTCAAGTTTTTCTAATTTTCTAATTTTCACGAGTTCATCAAAATACTGCATTTTCAATTTTACGTGGTTTTTCTCAATTTCAAATGGGTGCAAATTGATTTTCCAGAAGGTGCAAGTATTTCAAATGGGTGCAAATTGATTTTCGAGAAGGTGCAAGTATTTCAAATGGGTGCAAATTGATTTTCCAGAAGGTGCAAGTATTTCGAATGGGTGCAAATTGATTTTCCAGAAGGTGCAAGTATATCAAAAGGGTGCAGCATCCACTTGCTACAGTGCTTGGGAGATCACTGAAATTGCTTAGTTCAAATATTCTAAAATAAAACACAACTGGTTTCTGGAATGACATCACATGACCTGACATACCTTGTTGATATATGAGTTGCTAGGGATGTAGTAATGCTCCACGTTTCCATGGAAATGTAGAACATCATACAGTATGTGATTGAGAGAGTCTAACACTTGTCTTGATACGTCACCAGGCCACAAACTTTCCTCAAAATCTAAAATATGCAAAATTTAAATGTGGATTCAAGACAGATACCTAAATCTAGATTCATCGTGGAAACCAGCTGATTTCCCACAAAGCCTCCAATCAGTAGCAAAATTTACCTCATAACAGTTTCACGAAATAAACTGAAGAGATAGAGATGAGTGATGAAAAAATTAAAATCTTTGGTTTTTATCATTCCATGTAATGCTACAGGATGCTCCTTGACATCCCCTTGTCAATAATAACAACTTTGGACATTTCTGCATCTTAAGTCTTCAATAACTTCTATTTTCGATCAGGAATCTCAATTGTTTCTCTTTTAGAAAATAAAATTAGGAGTATCAAGGACATTCCAGAAAAGATTGCTTTTGTTGTTTGCTATATCAGGCCCATAGCCAGAACTTTCAAAGGGGGGGGGGGGGGGTTCACGTTTCCCCAAAAATTCTAGGGGGGTTCACTTTGGCAAATTTGGCCAAAAATCACTCAAGAATTAATCAGAATTGTGAAAAATGTTATGATTTTGAAGGAAATTTTGGCTGGGGGGGGGGGGTATATCACTTTTAATTCATTTGACATGTGCAATCCATAAGCAGAAAATCATGATGATATCAAAAATTAAACAAGGCATTACCATGCAAAATGTTACAGTCTGCCATTTGTTACAGATCCTGGACTCCGAACACCAACCGCTGGATGCCAAACATATCCACAAAAAAGTTGGATACTTAGTGACGATATGTCACCACTACCACTTCAGGTGGTACATAAAAATCATATGCAACGCTTAACAAATATTTCACTTAATTTCCTGATCTTGACCCTGTCAAAAAAGTGTAGAAGTAAACCTAAAGTAAAACTTACCTTCAGGTATTGGTTGTTTCAGAGCAGGATGATTCTCGTTGATAGTGGAGAGGTGTTTCCTAACTTGCCCCACAATTGTGTCTAATTTGTCAGCTATACTGTTGTGTGTTATGTCTAACGTAGGCTGGCACCATTGGGCTATCAGTACAGCTCCTGAAACAGTATATTATATAAGTCATGTCCCTGATCTACTCAAGGATGACACTACTGTTAAGTCTGATACCACATAGGCGTAGCTGGGGGGAAGAAAAGAGCTTGAAAATGCTTTTTATTTGAAGCTTCTAGTTCAATTTTCAAGGAAGTTGCATCAATAAATTCAAACAAATCTTAAAAAAAGATTTTGCCTTGCTTATCCCACGATTGCACCCCTGACTGAAAACCCCCCAAAAATTGGCAATCGCACCCCCCTGATTGAAAGTGCCTCTGCCCCTCTACCATATGTCTGGACTAACAATACTTTAATGTAAGGACACAAAATGTCGCTTGCCACCACAAAATGATCACAAAATATGCTCATTTCACTAATTAATTTTCAGGATAAGAATTTCAGACTCACAAGAATTAACTGAAAAATTGTGCTGGTAAGATCCAGTCTAAAAGGCAAAAACATGCTCTGTACTCAGCACTCATTCAGCTGTTGTAGAAGTTACTTTACTAACCTGTTTCGAGAAGTTGTTTTTTCGATGGTAGTGCCAAGAAGTCCTCAAACTCAATGCGTAAGCTTATTTGCTGTACATATCTCAGTGCCTTCAATGCATAGTAGGCTAATGTAAGATTGGAAACTGATGTCCTGAATTAGAAGATGATATACATGTTATAGTTGCTAATTAAGATTACATTCTGATACTCAAACCATCTCTGTCATGCAAAAAGACTGATAGGAGGCTGTGTTTAGATCTCACGATTGGAAGATTAGACCTAATACAATTACATAGAGATCCAGGGCTCTCACCAGGAAATATTTAGGGTGTGGTGCTAACACCTTCAGAATAACCATTCAATCATGATAAATCATATTTATGTTATGTTTTATCCTTTTTACATGCTTTTATTGTATATTCAGTCAGGTTTAGACTGTGGAAACAGTCATGATTTGCCAATAGGGTGTGGAGGGAGCTAAATAGAGTGTGGTGCTGTGCCACAGTCTAAAAGCCTGGCGGGTCTTTTCAACTTTTCCCTGTTAAATTTATGATTTCCATTAATTTTGCCTGTTGTTTTCATTTATTTAGCATGTTGTGAGAAATTGCAGTGAAACCCCTGAAAGAAATCTACTGTAGCCTATAATGCTAACTTACCTGTGTTTGTTATGTACAATGCTCATTAGCTCATCAACAATGAACTTAGAGGCATGCTCATGCTGGCCCAACATAAGGGCAAAATTTTCAAACCCAGATTTTGGCACATCCTCTTTGTCATAGTACAGAGCAGGCATATCAGCTATAGTTCTACGGACAGCTATTCCGCAACTGTGCCTGTGGCGGTATTCATCTTTCCAGCAGTAGCGACATTGTTTACTATAGCGGTTTAACAGACCAGGCCATCTGTAAAAGATATCATGAAATTATTTCATTAAGATGAAATCTACAAACAATACTAATATACAAGGTGACCCAAAATAATGCAATTATGCAACCCATAAATATGCTCGTCATTTCTATAGCTAATATAATATGATATATGCATCATCTTTCAATCATACTATTAAAGCTGAACTTTACGCAAACAAGCAAATTAGTCTTGCCTGAACTGGGGATCGAATTCAGGACCTATTGCGAAAGAGGTACACACGCTAGCACTGAGCTATGTGGGTGGACTGGTCTTTCAAAAATGTGTTCGATATGGCCAACTCAACGTTGCAGGCACTCCTGAATGTGGTGCATGAAGTTATCAATTATGCAGACACACTCCTCTCTTGGGATAACTCTGATCTTTGCATAGTCAAACAACATTTACCTAGCCTGGGGCAATTCTTATTTCATAATGATGAAATCTACAAACAATATACAGGGTGACCCAAAATAATGCAACCCATAAATGTGCTCGTCATTTCTATAGCTTATACGATATATGCTTCATCTTTCAATCATACTAAGCTGAACTTTACGCAAACAAGCAAATAAGTCATGCTTGAACTGGGGATCAAATTCGGGATCTATTGTGTAAGAGGTACATGCGCTAGCACTGAGCTATGTGGGTGGACTGGTCTTTCAAAAATGTGTTCGATATGGCCAACTCAAAGTTGCAGGCTCTCCTGAATGTGGCGCGTGAAGTTATATCAATTATGCAGACACACTCCTCTCTTGGGAAAACTCTGATCTTTGCATAGTCAAACAACATTTACCTAGCCTGGGGCCTTCTTATCTGACATGTCTTACTGCCCCAGAAGAAAGCTGTTATTGAGTTTAAGGTTGTTGAACTAATCTTTGCAGTGATTTCTGATTTCAAGTGTTGTCTGGCGACGGTTTTCATAAACAATGGTCTTTCAACAACCCTCCCAGATACAAATCTGAGACGTATTAGTCTAGAATTGTTTTCATGGCCTGAGTTCGTCGTTAACATGCTAAATATAAGAGTTAGCTGACGTTTGGGAGTCTGACTTACCTTCTAAAGGTTAGAACCCGAATCTTAATGAAACCATATCACCTTTGTTGCGTCGATGATGATGCATAAACACAGCATTTGATAGAAATTAGTGTAAATGCTTTTCCGACTTTTTCATTTTTTCATCAATGTTGACTTCCGGGAAGGCGTTGTAGTTATCACGAAATAACGCATTGACCCTTGAACTTTACTTTGTTGACATGTCAACCAAGCATGTCTGGTGTGAAAATTAAAAGAATATTAAGCAATGTTCTACATCCGCCAAGCTAAGTGAAGTAATTTAAAATTACCAATTTCAAGTGAAGTACGCAACGAACGAAACTGCGTGATCTACACCCCCACTATTGGTCTGAACGAAATGCTACGTAGAAATATGAGCCGTCTGCTGTATTAGTCGATTAATAGAGTAAGACCTGTTGGTGATGCTTTATAATTTAGACCAAAACATTGAAGAACAAACGAACCTGTAAATCGTGAAAACAACGAACAAATATTCGGTTTTCACATATGTTTGGTAATTTTTCGTATTGAAACTTCCGGAACTTACAAGGAAATCATTCATTTTCACGGTCCATGATTTACCTCTTGGATGTTGTGGCAAATGCTCCATGGTTGACGGAACAAAGGTGATATGGTTTCATTAAGATTCGGGTTCTAACCTTTAGAAGGTAAGTCAGACTCCCAAACGTCAGTTAACTCTTATATTCAGCATGTTAGCGACGAACTCAGGCCATGAAAACAATTCTAGGATATATACATGTATCCTATTTAGTCTGAATAACATTCATTGCGTGACCCAAAATAACGCAACCCATAAATGTGCTCGTCATTTCTATAGCTACTACAATATATGCTTCAGAAGACTCTGGGGCATCACTCATGCAGGTGCTTTAGGGCAGATAAGATCTCGAAAAAAATATGAAAATGAAACAACTGAACTTCACTTGCCTGTTTTTCAGTTTTTGTTTCCAGATTTCATTGCTGTTAGATACATGACAAAACCTCTTGCAAACCAATGATAACCGAGAGAGATCTAGGTGGGTAAGTACATCGCAGGCAATAATATGCTCTAGTAGCTCATCTGGCAACGCTAAAGGCCCTAATGTGGGCAGATTGTGTTTGTTTTGATCTGACATTTTCCAAATCCCAAATCTCGTTTGACCTACTTTCCTCTTCAGGGATTAGTGATTATGAAATACGATTAGGATTTTTCGGCTGATTTGAAAGTGTGTTTATGTGTTATGGTTTACAAGAAAGGAAATAAATTTTATTGGAATATGAGCTCCATAATGATATAACATCTTTAATGGTGATTAGATAGTTGTTGAAGTTCTTGTCACGTTAATAGGCTCAAATCTCGCGGGATTTATTTTCAGCATTCTGCATTTCCACGCTACTTCCTAGTTTTCACCAATACCGCTTCGCTAGCGGTTGTTTCTGCAAATATTCACGCACAGATGTACATAACAGGTAGGTTTCATATCGAATTACATTTTCACCAAGCCATGAAATTGACTCTGTTTGTGGTCTTAGCCTTTAGCCTGTAGGAAATCGTCCCCACTTTTTCATAAAAAATTATCGAACTTTGTGAAGTGAATGAATGATTTGATTCACGGACCTCTGTCAGATTCATACTGTTGATCTAAAGGTTAATAAATATTCCTCTTGATCCAAGATAAATAAACTCTAAATATATTCAAGGAGCGGAGAAGAAATCTTCGGAAATTTTTTATTTCCTTGATTCTGGAGTCGGTTTCCCAGGATCGGTTTATTGATGAATAAAACATGATGTACTGTTGACAGCTTTATCATCAATCACTTAAACCATACATTTATGTTAGTATCTGTTGATAAAAGCACTAAATAGCTGAACGGAAAGATAACGCCATGTTTCGCCAATTTCCGTTGTTCATGATGTCTATTCCAAAGATCATTATGTCTATTCTGAGAATTCGTCGCCACTCTGGATGACATCACACACGAGATTACCAAGAAACACAATGACATTTCTTTAAATCCTGTAGAAACAATAACCGTGGTTTGTTAAGGTCAGGGTGCATGATGGGAAATTTTTTGCATTCCTCAATTGAGTCACATGTTATTTTTCGAACAAGAATCACTCCTTCCCCATATTGTCTATATCTTCCAGTTTTGCACAAAGAGTGCTCTTATGTGCCTAGAAAAGACTTGTGAGAAGAATGTTTTGATAAAGTGTATAAAAAACAAGAAAATTCAGTGAATAAATTCAGAAAATTTTCAGAAATTTTTTTCACTGAATTTTTGTCGTTTTTTATACATTTTACAAAACAAATCTTCTCACAAGGCTTTTCTAGGCACATAAGTGCACTCTTTGTGCAAACCTGGAAGATGTAGACAATGTGGGGAAGGAGTTATTCTTCTTTGAAAAATAACATGTGACTCAATTGAGGAATGCAGAAAATTTCCCAACATGCACCCTGTCCTTAAGGCTACATGATCATTGCTTTCATTGGCTGTTTGATGTGATTTGACATAAAATGACATATTAACAACATCATACTTGAAACTAGAAAAAATTAAAAAGTTCTATGAGAATAGCATGACGTTCTGACATTTCAAGGCAACTCGTTTGAAAAATGATGGCGGTGATTGGAATTACGATGTAAAGATAAAACCGCAGCAAAATATAAATTGCAGATTTCTTTGCAAAACTAGGAAATATACATCTCATATCAAATTTTTCAAAACAGAAAAAATGTTTATAAAAAGTAAGGCCTGCAGGTCCAATTTCCCCTGGTAGAATTAATAATGGTCTTGTATATGGAAAAGAATTAATATTTGAAACACTATTCCTCGAATTTATGATCGGACATAAGTATGATGTGTACTTCAACAGTGATGTTGATAGAAATTTTAAAGTATGGGACACAGATCAAAAAAAATGTCCCACTCCAACTAAAAATGTGGGTCATTTCAATTTTTTTAGGGACATTTTTTCCGTCGCGATTTAATAAACATTTATAACTTTGTTTGCTCCTGCTTCTGAAACAAGCAATAAAGTAAAATTATATTTAACAAAAAATTGGCCAGGGGTTCCCCTGTATTTTATCATTTTTCATTCAGGGGTTTCACTTGATCTCATGGGGTACGGCAGTAAAAAATAAAGTCTTAAACCCCCTAAAATTAGCCAGAGGTTCTCTGTATTTTACACTTACTCGCCGGTGGTTCGGCATTTAAAAAATGAAGTTCCAAATCAAACAAATTTGGGTACAGTCAAAATAGAAATGTTTGTAACTACTTTGAATTTAAAAAATAAGCAATCAAATGACCATATTGAAACAAGGGCGTTACAATACCCGGGAATTTATCGGTTCGTGCAGTACTTGTTTGTGATAGCGCCCTCTGTAGGTCACTGTGCTTATAGCCTACAGTAATACGGGGTAGGAAATCGGGAATTCGGTCAGTTTCTATCCGTCGATTTCGCTATTAATTGAAGCAAGTGTGACCACTTTATCCACTTAAACAATTTGATAATTGATTAAATCTTTAAACAAAATCGATAAACACGTTATACACTTCCCATCTCCTTAGAAATTAGCATGTATTTATGGATTGTGTTTTCGAACAAGGCTCGACCCAGACCAATAGGGAAATCCTTATGCTAATTAGTATGACGTCATATTTTCCTGGGGAATCCTAGCTTTCAAAGCCTCAGTCTGTTATTGTGTCAAATGTAAACGCTCTTTTGCAGACAGAAAATTGACAGATTAGCTTCTAACTTTCAGCTTTGATGTTTAAATATTCTGTATTTCTACCGGACTTCTTGCTGAATATCATATAATGTTATAACTTGATTTGGACCATTGCCTGATTGATCATTCCGAAATTTTGATTGTGATTCATGATTGATTGGCAAGAAAAATAATTCCTATTGTTTTCCAGTGAAGTCAAAATGTTACAGCATGAGTTATAATGTCGACTTTGCATCATGTTAAATTCTGCTAGTGATTAGAAGTCCATGCACAAGCATACACATAAGAGACAAACACACCCAGGCTCCAGGCCGTGGATGGAAATATAAAACTATTTAAGGCACAAACTGGTATTAATAGACCGATATGTAGTGTCTGCCATGTATTGAAGGTAAACCAATCTGCATTATTAATGTTTCTTCTATCAATACATGGATTGTGCAATGGAAAAGCAATGGCACAATCAAAAATGTGCATATCAATCGTGAATATCTCTCGGTTCAAAGCTTATTTCCAACAGAATCGTGTCAAAATATGTGTCTGAGTAACAGTTATACATTATAAGATCGCAAACTCTTACCAATTATCAGCCGAATGGCTCATTTTCAACGAAATGTCCTTAAGACAACAGCCCTGGGTCGCGCCTGAGACCAAAAACTATTTCAAATAGCCCTCCCCTAATTATATTGGATAATCACATTTATGCGTGCGCGCGCAGCTCATCCACTGAACGAAACGCCACTTCCCGCTGAAATCACCGGGTATTGATCTTTCCCTTGATTGAAACAGTTTATGTAAAAATAGAAACATTTATATTTATCCTAACTTTTGTATATTTCAGATAGTAATGTATAATGTGCAGCAAAGCTGTGGCCTTTTGTTATTCGTCTTTCTGGTGTGGAATATATATGCTTTCAATCAATTGAACATATCTGCATTAAAGGCTATTGTACATTTAATACGTGGTAATATGCAATAAAATCGGGATAAAATTGAAATTCGAATATATTTTTTTGATTCATCGATGGTTGTTTTGATCCATGAAAACTACGAACGATTTAGAGTGTTGATGTTCATATTTTTGTAGAGAATCTATTGTATTATCAATCACTGGTAATTTCTAAATAAATCATAATTAACAAATTTATTGCTATGAAATAAATATACAATATCCCTGTTACCAGGTTACAGTGTAAAGTTAGTTCTGAGGCATTTAGTGCAAATAGTATAAACCGTTCGCATTTATTTACAAATGAGACAGCCGTTCGTACTTCTTATGCATAGCGGCCATGTCAATCATAAATACAAAGGCCAACCCTCCTTACCATATACGGACCTGGAAATCTTGGATGACATAACCTATGAGTGATTCGTCATAACAAATTGACCCGGGGATGTGCGCAACTGATTTGCGAAGCTAAATTCGCGTGTTAACTACAAGCACGAGATAACAAACTGACGAAAGTAATTTGGTAAAAATATTGCTTAAATCTAAGTGTTGGGCCTCATAACTGGACCATACTCAAATTGAACTGACAGGTATCAAGAATAGGATTCAATCTCGACTACAAGGCAACATGTTTTGACTGCGTCATGAATTTACAGATTGGACGCACTGAGGTAAGGAATCTGCGTCTTCCCTGTTAAAATTGCGCCAAAGACGCAAAGACGCGATCTATCAACATCACTGCTTCAAGGTGAAAAAGTAACATCATACTTATGATTAACTAGAGAAAAAACATTGTGAAGGTTTGTACCATTATGCTTTGAATCTTTTTGTAATATTGTTATTCTTTTATTTGTAGGAATGTGATAAGACATTTAGAGCCATAGAAACTAATCACATAATGGAAGGACCTCTCATCAAGTCAAAGAAATCGAAAGTTACATGTGGAGATATTGAAACCGAGATAGTAATTTCTGACTTTGGAGATAAGCTCTTCATCTTAGCAACCCAATTTCAGAAAATTGGCAATTTGACTCTCGTTAGCAAAGACGTTGTATTGCAAAATGGAATCGCCACTTATACAACCAAAGTGTTCTTGGGAAAGGATGAACCTATGACGCATGTTTTTGCACGAAGTTTAGCAGCTAAAATTGACACACCTAAGGACTTGCTTGTATCAACTGCATTTAGAAACTCTGACAAAGATATGATGAAAGAAGTTGAAAAAAGTATCGTTGAACTAGTGGACCTCTAAATCTGGTAAGTCATAAGTTCCTAAATCATCATCTAACAGTGCCATACAGTGTTGTTTTAATAGACTAGATGCGAGTAGAAATAATCTTGATTTACGTCATTAAATATTCATAATTCAGTCAAAGTTATGTCATTTCTGCAATCTACATGTAAAAATGCATCTAGAAATATGGTTTCGAAAATTGTTTATCAACTTTGAAAATTTAATTTTTTTGAAAATATAGTTCGGGTTGATTCCCCATCGACCCCATGTTACAAAATCACAAAAAGTGAAATATCTTTTCTTGTAAAGGACAGATAAGATTTTCTTTTACTGGAGATATTTTAATTTGCATAACTATCAGGGTAATATGAAAATTGAACCACTAAAACAGATGTTATTTAAGTTAAAGGGAACTTGCTACTCGGTAATTTTCACATAAAATAGCACTTTTGAGAAAAATGATGTTACAGGTCTGTAAATTAATAAATAAGAGGTATATGTTGGTGTTGGAGTTATAATATGTTACATTGGGGTATACTCTACATAATCAAACACATTTAGAACTATGGGAACCCATATTAAATTGTATATGGCATTAATAAGAGTCAAATTCTCTCTTTTTTCCGCGTTACGAACGGACATTTTAAAATAAGCTATTTAAGAATAAGTTTTGAGAAAAAACTGAATAAACTTATATATAAAAGTTGTATGTTTATTTTAGTCTTTTCAGTTTCCTTTATTTTGCCGTTTATTTCAACAAATAACATCGAACAACAGAAAAGTTATAGCATTTTTAGATAAGCCTACCTCCGTTACGACTTTCTGAATTTTCAGCACTAACATTTTTGATTCATCAACTAAGAGGTAAAATATATATTTTTATTTCTTTATTTTTGTGTTTTAATAAAGCCTTTTGATAGTTATAAGCAAATAAAATATGAAAACATGTAAATCTTTCAAATAAACAGAAATATTATTATTTAAAGTCTAAATATATCTAAGAGACAAAAAAGTAATCTGTAGAAAAAACTAAATTACATGTTAACTGAGAAATATTTTTAATTTTTATTGTTCTAGATTTAACAAATACCCCGCCCTCAAGAAAATAGCATATTTAAATATTCTGTGTTTTTTCCTTTTCAGAGTCCTGAGCTGATCTAGGTTGTGTAGCATCCGTAATAGACAATGTAGCATCCGTAATGTCCTTTATTCCCAGTTAAAGAGAAATAAACACAACCCTTCAGTATTATGAAACATGTCATATTGCAACATTGATTGATACAGACTAGAATTACTTGATATCCTTAGGAACAGAAGGGGTATTTAATTATGAGAGTTGACAAAGAACCAAAACCATATTTTTCTTTTTTAAACTTCTCATATCAAACTATGGAAAGGATGAACATTTTTATTTCAGGAATCATTCATTCAATTAAAATTAAACTGGCACAATAAAAAAATTGGACACTATTTCTTTAATAACATCAAACACACTATATTACGGATGCTACATATTTTGTTTATATTACATAATGTAAAAAAACAAAGTCTGACTTCAGAAGTGAACTTATGAAACCAATAGATCAAGACTAAGAGCAACATAGGACAAAATGGGACTTTCAGCAGAGAAAAACAGAGAAAATGTGAGAAAATATCGAGAGAAATTAAAACAAGACAAATCTAAATATGAAAAGGTAAAAGAAGTTGATCGTAAAAGAAATCAAAAAGCAAGAAAAGAGCTGAAAAAAGATGTATGAAAAATCAGCCTTTACACGAAGCAATGAAGGAGAAACAAAGAGAACGAATGCGTGCTTATAGAAAAAAGAAGAAAAATGTGGAAAGAGATTCAGAAAAAGACAAAAGGATTTCTGCAGGTAAAAAGATAATGGCAGAGAAGAAAAGAAAAGAACAAAAAGCTAAAAACAGAAAGCAGAGACTGCAAGACAGACTGGAAAAAAAGGCGGAAGTATCTAGGGTACAACGTTGGAGGATGCGTATAAAATTAGAGCAAAAAAAACAAGAAAACCCATTTGGAACTGAAAGAAATGAGAGAAGGTTCAAGAAAAAAGCAAGAGAAAGTCTACCAAAAACTCCAATAAAAAGGTTCTATTTTATTGGTTATGCACCGCAACCCACCCCCCCTGGCTATGCCTATGCCTGTCGAGAGACAAAAAGAGAAGCGAAAAGACTGTTAAAACAAGTACTTCCAATAAATACTTTTACAGTTATATGTGTTTATCAACGACCCTACTTGTCAAATTAATAGAAACGAAAACTAAATTCTTTCATTACGCGAAAACCGTTGAAATATCTACCTGATTCGCTGGAATAGTCATTAGTCACATTATTTCAGAGCAAACAATTAGCATCTACTATAATATTTATTTTTATATCCGATATACAACTGATATTGATATCTTTCCCCGGGCAATGTGTTATCTCATGATCCGTTGACATCATCAACAATTTGATTTACCACAAGAGAGTAACCAACATTCCTTAATTAAAAAGTTGACATTTCTTGAATTTTACAGCAAAAACACTATGCCACAATAACATCGAGGCAAAATCAAAACATGGTGTGGAAATAAAAGGCATACAAAATGGCCATTAAAATGAAATTCTTGTTCATAAAAGTATCAACTTTATTACATTGGACGCAAATACAAAGTATAGAATAAATAAAAATAACGTCTTCCCAGAGATTACAATACGGATCAGTAAGTCAACAAATCTAACTGTTAAATAAACAAACTTAGCCCATGTCTGCAATTGTTCGTCTGCTGGTCAGAACTCGGTATCCTCTTCGGATAATCAATTTCTGTGACTACTGATGTCTTAAATAATTCATAAAGACGACGTTGTCTTTAAATAAGGATCTTTAATCTACAAACTGTAAATAAATAGCGTGAACCGGGATCGTAGACAACAACATTAATACCTTGCTGTCCTCTGTTAAATCACGAAACCCGTTTCCCTTAAATTTTTTACTAAGAGACTTACACATGCATAAGTTATCTATCAAATTATTTTTCTTTAAATATTAAATGTCGTCTTAGTTTGTTTTAATGATTACTCTTCATCTAGATTCATTAATCATCACAATATTTATATATACATATTATGTAATAGACCTATCATATCACGTCCGTAGTTACAAAGTCAACTACATATTAATGCAATAGAATAAGACTCAATAATTAAAAAAATAAACCTCAGTATTCGGGCCTAAAAAACACAGATAAGTGTATCAATACCAACGGGTAAGCTCAAATAGCCTTCCAAATAAGTGTATCAATAATCAAGGATTGCGAGTACTAAGGACCGGGTAAGATGGTGGTAACATTGGTATTGCTAGTTATTAAACACGATTTTGTCTTGTGATAGCACAAGACAATATTGTTGATAAACTATAGAATTGCAACAGTTAAAGTTGTAGTTAAAGAGTAAGATGTTACTGTTCAACTGCAGCCACAAAAGACTGTAAAGTTAAATAAGATGATTGTTCAACTGCAACACTAAACATTGCAAACTTATGTTATAAGATGTTACTGTTTATCCTCAACAACAATGGACTGCATTAAGTATTATTAAAAGACATTTCATTTTTACGCATCACAATTTTTCATTTTTTACATATAGCATTCCTTTACTGTAGAACAATGGAATGAAAACAAAATAGATGCTACATGTCATTATATTTTCAATTGGAACCATATTGTTTTGTTTTTATTTGTGGAAGCTAGGGTGAATAATGTGTATGCAATCAATACTTTACCAATACATGAACTGACATTTTACCATCAGACATCATAATATTAAGTACTAGTGGAATAAGAGGTAGGCATAAATACTTAATGTTTTTATAATTCTAAATTGTAGCATTTGAGTATCATATTTATAAGATATTATATTTACTATTATCTATTAGTATTAAATATTATAAAACATTTTACATATAACTATTTATATATTTCCAATTGATAATTTTATTTTTTTCTCACGAGCTGACTTTGTTAATTTCACCTCTAGAGAAGTATAATTATATGAAATATAATTATACTTGTATTATATATTCACTGAAGTGTATCATATGTCTATATATTGCAGATATCCTAATATCTGATTATGAAGATACATGACAAGAAGAACAAGTAGATGCAGTTACTAGTTTATGGAAACTTACAATTCCTAACCAATGTGAGTTCATATGTTTATATTCTTTACTATTTGTAGCATCCGTAATTTTTTCTATTCTATTTTGAATGTATATAAGATACATGACAAGAAGAACAAGTAGATGCAGTTACTAGTTTATGGAAACTTACAATTCCTAACCAATGTGAGTTCATATGTTTATATTCTTTACTATTTGTAGCATCCGTAATTTTTTCTATTCTATTTTGAATGTATATAAGATTAAACACTTGCAATCTACACAGTTGTTTTATATTTTCTATCACTAAACAATGTTCAAGTAACAGGATACTACTATATTCTCTTCTTTTAGACAGTCAATATATAAATGTTCCACAAAAGTATTCTTGTTTGAGCATCTTTTTTGAATTTTTTGTATAATTATGCATTTCATATTTGTACCTGACAAAAAAATATTTTAAGTCTCTTGTAACTTATTATTTAACAATTTCAGATTAAATATGCCAGCCATAAAACAGCATTGAGAGCTCCACACTTCAAAATGAAAAGGGTATCATTGTACATTTTTATGTAGCATCCGTAATATCACCTACCTGTGTAACAAACTGTAAGCATCATCATACTTGCTTGTTTAAGACAAGGAAATGTTACTTCATTGATTAAAGACTGTTTTCTGTACAAGAAATTAATATCTTTGTCACTCTAACTTAAGTAAGATGAACTAGAGAATAAATGAACCATCACTAAGTGGAATAAAAATTTATAAGATAATCAAAAAAAGTGATTTTTTGTGAAAAGATATTTAAATTCCAATATTTTCAGTTTTTATATTATTAATTCTACCATTTTCTTCCATTCCAGAAACTTACCAGTGACAATGTGCAATTCTTGTGGAAATGGGATACAATAAATTTGAGACATATAGCAGCTGTTATTCTGATGGTGTCAAACTTTGGATGACCGAATGAGACACTAAGAGATGCGAATACTTCAGGATTTTTGTGTCAAATGATCAGAAATAGATTTTTCTTCAATAAAAAATACAAAAAACAATACTTATGACAGGTTTATTTTTTGATTGTCATGTCCTCCAAAAGTGCTATTTTATGTGAAAATTACCGACTATACCCGCCATGCTATCTGATCCGAACGAGCCACCTGGTGGTGAAACTGGTAACTACCTACTCGCATCTGCTTTATTAGGGAACTGAACAGGGCTGTTCGAGGACTGTATTTTGCAGCTCTGTTTGAACACCAGCGCTGTACAGCATTGCTTATGAAACATAGAGTACAATTTGGGGGGGGGGAGATTTCCCAAAGTTCAGAGTTGGTCACATGGTATCAATGTGATAGTTCCATGAAAGGGTTATGTGACCATATAAGAATTCAACTTACTGTTGTCTTACATTTTGAATGTCATGTGATAGATCCATATAAGTCTTGTAGGACCATGTAGAAAGCTTTAGGATCTAGGAGAAGCCTCTGATACCAAGTAATACCAAAGAATTATGGGACCCACTCATAGTTAGTGCTCCAAACAATTATTGAAAATCAGTATTGACAATATCTTTAGTCAACATCATATCGCTATCAAATATTGTTTTGATCATCCCTCAGGGGATCAATGTGCTGATTACGACTGAATTGTTTTTTCAGTTGATTTTTTCTCAGCTGTTGCTTTTTTACTACATTCCCTTTTATACCAGCATTGTTACCAAATCGTGCAGTCATAAGTGTCTGCATAGTGCTCTAGGCGAGACTGTCCACAGTGATTTACAAATAAGTAATCAGTTGTTCGTTTATTCCATTATTGCTCAGCTGACTTGAGACTATTGCACATCAGCTCTGCCCACTGCGCAACAATAATAACAAATTATAGGATGTACTGCACATGTGCAGTGGCTTGTTCTCTAAAGAAGGTCAAATCAATTTAAAAACTTCATTGTTTCCAACACTCATGCATGGACTAAAACATTTGAAAATGTGTAGAGAAATAAGTTTTTCTATCCATTTTCTGTGTTTCCAAAGAACCTGGCGGTGATACAAACGATATTCAATATTGATTTTCAATCGACATTGACCCAGATACTATTGTCATTATAATACTGACAATACTGCTTACTTAAAATACATAGTACTTTTCAGATTGGAGTGTTACTAACATCTCTTCTAATCACATAACACAGACTGACTGAGTGATAATTTTGAACATTTTGATTTGAATAAAATTCTGTTCATTTATTGAAACCATAGTATAGCAATATCTAATCTATATCCACAGTATGTATTCAAATGTGAACATAGTTCAAATAGATTACCCTGACAGTCAGAATATTGGGACTTATAATCCAGAAGATGGCTGGAGGACCTTCATAAAGGATAATCTCTATAAAATAGTGTGCATAACGTGCAGTTTGAATTGATGATTTGCGATCACCGAATGGATTCTGTCTTTTAGTGACGTCACAATTAGGTCACCCAGCTTTAGATGCTTGATTTTGAGAGATTATCTTCTATATTTCGTGCTTTATTGATTTATTTTTCACGAAAGCGTTCTATTTGACTAGATCAACATTCATGCTAAGCACATACCAAGTCTAAGGTCTTACTGACATGATTTAGATAGCGGTTTAGCGCCCCCTGATTTTGACAAAAACGGGGGGCGCTTATAGGCATCGATGTTTAGTATGAATTTCACCCAAACTTCGCATATATATAGACATACTCATGATCTAGTCAAATAGGCATACCTGGTAAATATCCGACCCATGGTTTTTATATAAGAAACGACAATATTTTTAGCTCAAAACTGCCACGTGTCCGCCATTTCGTGATTCCATCATGTCTAATATCATTTCTATATGACGTCACACCAATAAGACGAAATACGTGACAACAGTATCCATAAACAAAATTCCTGAATTCTGATCGCAAAAGGTCAATTGGGCAAGGCCAAATCAGATTTTATTATTCATCTCAACTTATTTTATGTTTGCTGCAGAACAATTCAAGATTTACCATTGAATCATTGT